CCAAGAATTCATTTTTAATGTTTGGTGCAGGATTAAGAATTTGTCCTGGTAGAAGATTGGCGATACTTGAACTGAAGTGTTTGATGGCTTCGATTTATAGAAATAGTGATTTAAAATTGGTAGATGAAAATGCCGGAGTACCAATCAATTCTTTTGCTATTACTATGTCTCGAGAAATATTGGTTTACGTTGTTGCCAGAGAATAAACAACGCCTCTTATTTGTCAATAATTTTATATTTTATATTTTATGTTATATGTTACCATCTTATATTATATATATTATATACATTTTACAAGTATATATCATTTTATATTTTACTTAATATTTTTTTAAGATAGATGTATATAAAAAATTCATTTATTATTTTATATGAAGGAGAAAAAATAATTTACAAATAAATTAAAATATTTTAAATTTTATAATACAAGAAAATCATATATAAATTAGATGCTCAAAAGATTTTTTTATTAAAAAGAAAAATTAAAGAGTAATAGTAAAAAAAAGGTCAGAGGTTAAAGTATGCGGTATGTCTCCATTGTATGACTTTAATATTATTAATATTAAATATTAATGTTGTGCATGAATGCATGGCTGGCTATTTTTATTTTATATTTTTTGCAAATTATTAATTAATTTATTTTTAATCGGAAGTTCTTTTGATTAACCGGCCAGATCTTTCATGTATTGCACGTAATTTTTCTAATTATTTAAAAAAAAATTTGATTATTCAATTAGACATTATTATTATTAAAAATTTTTGTGATAACCAATAATATATATATATAAATAGACACTTACTGTAACGTTCTAATTTACGATTGAATATGGCCGATGAGAAATCATCGTCTACACAATCACCAATCATTTCGGGCTCTTCACAAATAGCATTATTCTCGGGGAATATAACTACAGGAGTCCATTGGGAATTTGTTTGATTTGTTTGTTGATTATCTGTATCTGATGTAATGGATGATGAACTGAGCTTTATTGATGAACCCGACATTTTTTTATATAGTGTGTTATATATTTATTTATAATATATTTATTATAATATATAAATATTATTATTATGTTGAATTTTATTTTAAATAAGGTTTGGAGGTTCAGAAAAATATTTGAATAATTCCTATTAGAATTCTTTTATTCTTTGTAGAAAGTAGTTTTTTTAATATTTTTTATTATTAAGAATTTTTTTTTTTTTTTCAGAAAAATTCTTCCACTTATATTTATACAATTTTTTTTATCATGCAAAATTATTATTATTTATAAAAATTAGTTCTATATGGATGTTCTATTATGGATTTGGTAGTGAGCGTGATTTTTTGTTTATGTTCCGGAATTCTAAAATTCTTTTTTATCGTATGCTTTTAAATAGAATATTTAAAAGGAATATGTATGGAATATTTACAGAAATTTGCCGTCTATTTTTAATGTTTTTAATTAATTAATTAATTAATTAAAGCTGCATAATAAAAATATATTTATAAATAAATATCCTTACAGTATCGGTGCCACCCAAAAGTGCATCCAACATATTAGAACCTATTTCCTCGTCAGTCAATGGTCTGCTTAATCCTTCACCTTCAACAGTTTTAATATGATTAAAATCACGTGCAGTATTGGCAACAAGCATTGACGTTAACATGTCATGACTTTCTATTGATTGACCCAATGGTGTATTTTCAATTTCTTTTCTACGTTTTTTTACAAATTCATCAATTTTTCCGCTCAAATACACTCTATTATCAACTATTTTTTTGGATTTGGTTTTTACCATTGGCAAATAATGTCTAATAATACTTGGCACTGCTATAAAAATCGGACCGCCAAGAAAATGAGTTCTAACTCCTTTAATAAATCTTTCTGAATCTTCCAAAAGTGCTGATGGATAATCAAGATGTTTGTCGCTGAGTGTATTTAAATAATACGCCATTGAATAGGCTCTTTCGCCTGTCGTCACCACTGTTATAATATCATGAGTAAATCTATGAACCCAGGCATCGAGATTGATCGCAACCTTATCACCATTTTCGTTTTTTAAAAGTTGCCAATATTGTTCCATTTCTTTTAATAATTTGTTTGCCCAATCAAGTGATTTATTATCAAACCCGGGTGATAATATGGCTTGTGTGAAGAATTGTCTATTATATCTCCATGATTTTACGTTATAATTCATAATTAATCCTTTGCCAGCTATACCAAGTTCATCAAACCCTTCGGTATAAGGCAATCTAATCAAAAAAGCATTGTTTTTAGCTGCTGTGCACAATTTATCAACATTTTCCACATCACAAAAAACTATTCTTCTAACTCCCCCAATATACAACTCAAATGTTGCTCCATATCTATGATGCAATTCAATAAGATATTTTTGTATCCTTCCATTATTCCTATAGAATCCAATCAAATTACCAACAAGTGGGAATGGAAATGGCCCTGGCAATGGATTGATTCTTGTATAGTACTTGTAATAAAATTGCGTCACGTAAATTATTACGAAAGTTAGAAAAAAAACTAACAAAGAATTAATTAATTTTAATGTTTCCAACGATGAAAAGATTTTATGATGTAAAGACATTTTTTTTAAAATGATTTTTTTTCGATTAATAATTAATTATTACGTGTGTGTGTGTATGTATGATTTTATATTAATTGAGTTTTTTTATTTTAATGTTAATTTTTTAAAAACGTAAAAGATCCAATTCATTCTTTTTATATAAAATTTTTAAAATTTAGATTTGATAACAAAACATTTGAATCCGAAATTTAACCGAAATCAACTGATTCGGTTAAATTTCGGTATCTTATTATTATTATCGATCATTTATTTTTGAATTTCACGAATAAATATTACCAAAGTCCATATATTAGGAATAATTAAAATGTGTGTGAAAAAAGAATGCGTTCTAGATTAGATGTGGTGTTACATTTCTGTGTCATATGCTGTGCACGGGGCGTGGACAGCATATCAACAACACAATTCTCGCACCAAAACAATTATTTCTGTACCTTTGTTATTATTGCTTAAGCTTTCTTGGATAATTTGTTTCATTCCTCGTTGGAATTAAAATTCGTCAAGAAACTATAATCATTTTTAAGATGTTCCGATTTAGAGCGTCATAATATGTTTCCCGAGTGCTTAGATTTTTGGAGCAATTTCTGATTAAGATTTGGATTCGAATCAATAAGATAGTTTTTGTCAGAAATAACATTGAGACTTGTCAAGTGTAGCCATATATGATCTGTTTAGTAAATGGACGAGTGATAAATATTCCAATCAAGACATAAAAATGACACATTAATATTTAATATTAATAAACGCATATATTAATAAATTTCCTGATAGTTTCTCAAAAGAAAGTTTTTATGTTATTGTTGTAATTAATGCTTGCTCTTCTGCTTCACTTCTAGAATAATGATTCTTTAAGTTATATATTATATCAAATTTAGTCAACCGCTACTAAATTAGGAATTTTTATGCTACCGTTAGGGTGATGGAAAGTAAATTATTCTCTAGACATGTGAGTTTGTCACTCATTTTTGTTGTGTAAATCAATGATCGAGAGATATACTATAATTTTGCTAGCTTTAACAAGACCGTATAATAAATTGTTCTTAACATTAAAACCTGGTGGCTCGAACAATCAAAGAAGTTGATTATCAAGCCCTTAATATGACTACTATCCATCTGATAAAATAATAATCAGTAATATATAATAATATAATACATGTATATAAATCTCAACATATCTATAAATATATATATGATCACTCACTATAGATTTCACCCACCTCATAACCAAAATCAATTTCATTGACAACAGCTTCTAATTTTGATATTTCATTTATCGAACGCATCCTATCGAATATCAATAACGAATATTTACAATGAACATCAGATAGAGTAATTCCTGCATTAATTATCAATGATTCATTCATTGTCTGAATAAAGATTTCCAAAGCAATATTGCGGGCTCGCTGCAATATTAATTTACAAGTGTAACAAATGTTATGTTACACATAGATTAAATACTATTGATACTATTATTATTATTGTTATATCAGGATAATTTTTTTACCGATTGTTTTTTCATATCCATCTTTTGATAACAAATGTTGAATTTCTTCGTAACCTCTATATTTAATAGTTGTAAAAAAAAATTTCAAGCTGCATATTTACCATATAGTTAATTAACCCAAAAATAGAAAATGGTAACAACATTAAAGGACGAGCTAGCTATTCATACAATAAATAAATTCATCACAAATTGGTTCTACAATAATGGTTGATATATCTAAAACAAGCATGTCTGTTCTAGTGGAATAAATAGACGACAATGTGGGACTTTCTACCACGCCATCGGTATAACATCTATGCTTATAAAAAAACTTTTTACGAACATCAAAACATAAATACAACGTTAAAACCTGCTATAAGAAGCTCGAAAGAGAATAACAAAAATATCTTGTCGGCGTTTCTTGGTCCCGTGTAAGAAATCTCAACCAGGCAAGTGGAAACTATTTTTTAAGATGATCTACTAAGTTATCAGTTGTTTGCATTTCATGTATTGAAAAATCAAGTTTCAAAGAAATAAATAAACGTATCAAATTGAAATGGTCCACCAAGTATTCGAGAAGGCATGAATGATAAATTAACCAGTAAAAAAATTTAAGGCGTCTAGTGATGATTTTATACTCAATTCAGAACGATTTATATTTTTACAGATATATTTTAGTATGGTAAATAAAATTGCTAAACAGCAACATGATCATCTCAATTTGCGTTCCTTAATTTACGAACTTCCAAACCAAACTTGGAAATTAATTATGATTTTAAGAACATCATATTGAAGAAATTGTTAATGATATAAGTAATGACAAAAAGAAGACAATCAACCAGAAACAACTCCAGAGCACAGCATCCAATTATTACCTTCTTCTAAATTCAAAAATCAATGGACATGGAACTAAATCAAAAAACTGGTGACCATTTTAACTGGATCGCTACAATTTCCAACGTTGAACTATCATTGTTGCATATGTAGACGACCAACAATATGATTTAGGAAAAGTTATGGCAAAGGGACCAAACAAATATAATCACAAATATAAGGGAAACCAAATATAATAAAACCTAATAGTAGATATTTTTGTAATAAAACCTAATTTTTTGAACTTGCAGAGCATGCCTCTATATACAACATAACTGATTCATATTTATTCCTTTCATATTAATATTGAAAATACAATTTCCGTGGTAAAAGAGTAATAGTAAATGAAAATTTCATCTACATAATTGAATACCATCGATTATGCGACCAAAGAATCTTGTATAACTCGTTTTGCAAAGTCTGTGACCAGCTGATAATAAAACCGACAGTGACAATTGAAAATATTACATGTGATGTTGATATTACGTTTAGTCAATTTCCAAAACGAATTGCTATTTTGGCTCAAGAATTAGGCTTAACCAAAAATGAGGCTTGCTTAATTATTTCTCATAATAATAATATAACATAAATATAAAATATATTAAAAGCTGGGTAAAGTTAATTAATAATTAATAATTATTATCATGATGTAAACATTAATAATAATTAATTTACATATACTTACTGTATAAAGTATAACGCCTACATCTCTCAGTAAAATCAACAACCACAATTGGTATAGCTTAAACTCTACACCTAGGCAAAATAAGTTTTGTTTGTGTGAGGCAATCATCACAAGGGCCGACATTTGCTACAAAAAGGAATTCACAAGTTATGAATTTAATTTACATTTAACTGGTGACATACACTAGCTGGACAAAAGTATTTGATCACGTATTTACACTAATTAGTAAAAACCCTACATAACAACATTACACGAAATTTATAACATTATGTGCCTAGATTTTGATAATTATATATTCGAAATTTCACGTTGCTAGCTCTCATATTCATACATGTATCAAATTTAATAAAAATGTTTTGAAATTATTTATTAATTTTTCGTTGACTGCGATTCAGATGTTATCACTATTTTTTTTTAATCATTAATTTTCTAGACACGATAGAAATATGAAATTTCATATATTTATTCTTCAAAACAATATCCCTCATTTATATAAAATTTACAATTTTTTATTATGTAAATTTTTTAAAAAATGTGAAAATATAGCAAAATGTTTAAATTTTTTATTTGGGTTTTAGTTTTTTTTATTAATCTTGATATTTGGAAGCTAGAAACGTGAAATTTTGAATATATAATTATCAAAACCTAGGTGCATAATGTTATAAATTTCGTGTAATGTTGTTATGTAGGTTTTTATTAATTAGTGTAAATACGTGATCAAATACTTTTGTCCAGCTAGTGTAATTAGTTTTGATCTACATCAGTCCATCATACATCCCAAGTGTTGCATGCATAATTTGATGCTTGTTGCCACATAAATCTGGGGTCTCTAGTGTATAACAAAATTCGGAATTCTCAAAATGCTAAGGCTCAGCCAGTTTTCAGTTTAAGAAAAAACCAGCCAATAAGTTTTGAAGCTTGAGTCATGAACAATAAAACTTATTGGTTAAATTTTTTAAAATGAGATATTTTTTTTTTGTTTTAGTATTTTGAAGTTGACCAACTGTTATTATAAACAATTAATGATTATAGATGATCTGCACCATATTTTTGTATAATTTTCAAAATTCGTATCAAAAATTTTCTTTTTAGTCCACTTCATATAGAGATGGGAAATTTTGAAATTTCATATGCATTATTATGCATTGCATTTTTTTTAAATTGTTTTTTTTTTAAAAAAAATTTAGAATATATATATCTAAATCCAATTTTCACTATTATTATCACTAAGGTTTCTGGTCGAAACTGCTTCTATTAGTAGCCGAAATTGCCCAAATACTTTGGGCAAAAATTATTTTTTTATAAGCCCAAACTACTTTTTGTTATTAGCCGAAATTGGGCGAAATTATTTTAAAGTTGTTTAAGTTAAAACAAGTTGATTCATATAGTTTTTTAATGTTCATGCTTATAGAAAATGTTGAGAAGCCCAAATTGCCCAAACTAGTTTGGGCTTTGAGAAAACAGTTTGGACCAGAAACCTTAATTATCACTACTACTGCATTCTTCTTCACCACTTTCTATTCCAATTGTATCATCACTCTTATCATTCCCACTTCCTGCATTTCCATTACCATCAATTGTAATATCCATATTATCATTGTTGGTATTTTTGGACATTTTAATTTGTAATTAAAATAAATATATACCAATTTAAAACACACTCAAGTGTCAATAGTTTATTTCTCTTTTGATCATTTATAAAAGAAAACCAATATTTTTTTAGAAGCAAAGCTAATGAAATAGGAGCTGAAATTACCAATTCTACCCAGTTTAACAAATGAGGCCAAATTTTTGATTTTGTCATTTCTTAAAAATACTATCAATAATATATAATCAATAATAACTTGGTAAAAATTAAAATTCTCGTTTTTTTTTTAAATAGAATTGCATACATGTCTAAAATCTATGTGCAGAATGCTCATTCCAAGCATAATAATTTATTGTGTGCATTATAATTTTAGAGATGTGCACCATCTGACCTCAATTTTATAAATTTGTGGCTTAATGTCAAGATCAAATAAAATATTAAATTATATATATAAATATATATTAATGCCAGTTCACAATATTTTTTTCTGATGAACTTTTTCAAATATAAGATATCTTTTTGATAAATTTGTTATTTGTGAAAATAAAGAAAAAAGTAATGAAAGATCCAAACAGGCAGTAACTACACAAAGCAAGAAAATAAGGAAATAACCAGATAAGAATTAAATAAAGTATGTGAAGATTTTGATCCAATTTGGTTATGAGTTTACTCTTGGCTTGAAAAAGTGAAGACAGTAATAGAAAGTGACAATGTTTTTGAAAAGTATAAACAAAATTTATCAATTGTTTTATAATTTATTTTATTATTTATGTAAAATTGCCTGATAATAATGTGCAGTCAGTGCACATAATTACAAGTTCAGATTTTAGACACTGCCTTCAAAAATTATTAGATTGAGATTGAGATTGATTTCGATCTGCATTCAAAATTTCCATATTGAGATTGATTTCGATCTGAGATATGAAATTTCAATCTAGGTCAGGCATTAAGATTGAAAAAATAAACAAACAAAATAATAAAAAATAATAAAAATTTTTTTTAAAAAAAAATGTAAAATGTTGAAGTACCCAAAAACAAAGACATCAATACTAAAATCATTAGCATTGGTATTTGTAGGTTCAAGGTCTAATTCATTTCTTTGATGATTAATAAAAGAGAAAAGAGATGTAAAAATTCCATTGTTAATTAATAATTGTTGATCATCTTGATAAAATAATTTTTGATCATGGATTGAAAATTTCAATTTCAATCCAATCTCAATCCAATCAAATATTCAATCTCAATCTCAATATAATAATTTTTGAAGGCACCCACTGATTGTATATGGGACATTGCATGATTTGAAAAAAACCATGCACATTATGCACATGATGCAATGTGTATTGCATTTTTTTCATGCACATGTCACATCTCTAGCTCCATACATGTATGGTCCACTCGTATCACAACGATTTTATTGGCTAAAATTTGTACACGTAATAAATTTTAAAACTCAAATTTAATACCCTTTGTGTCACTTTGATGGTTTCTTTATTGTAATAAAAGTCTTTACAAAAAAAAATTCTTCCCACACCCATCTTTAAATGCTGGAATACCAAAACAAGTTTAACTAAAATGTATTATGGTTAGATGAAGCTAGAAAGGATCCTACATGGTGATCTGCCTTAAAAAATGAGGTGCCAGCATTTTCTGAATTTACTGCTAAACTTATGTCAATTCCCGCTCATCAGCAGCAGCAGAAAGAAATTGGGCCATTTTGGCTTTGTTCATAGACTGACTGATGACAGAGTTTTAAGTTGATTTATATATTCAAATCTTCATTTGAATGACAAAGTATTGAATCATTAAATCTTCCATTTTTATACTTTGTGCTACGTATGACTGTCATTTCCCCGAGTGGTTTCACACAAGTATTATGTAATCGTTAGATTATGGTGATCTTTCCAAAAAAGCAACGTTATTTCATGTCTAACAAAAATTTTTAGCACATATTATGAGCTACACAAAATCTATGTATGTTCAAATCGTGCAAAAATAGCAAAAATAAAAAACAGTTTTTATTTATTATCTTATTATGGCACATAGATAATTTATTCGTTTATTATATATATTAATTTGTAGAGTTAAGAAAATTTATTCTCAAATACTTTTTCTCTCGAAAATAATGCCTATAAAATTTTTTTTTGAAATATTCGATATTTTGTAACTTAAAAGCCAATAATTTAATTTTTATTGAAAATCACAGTTTCTTTATCTTAAATATTATTTAGGAAAAAATATTTTTCTCTTGATATAAAGAACCGATACCTGATATTTCAAATATTAATATCAGTGCATATCGTAGGATTACACCTTGTAATTTTTTAAAATATAAAGTTGAATGTTACATTTTCTCAAAAATAGATTGATTGATATTATTCACAATAAAAAAATGCTTATAACAAACAAACAAATAAGTGGCGTCTAAATGTTTGTGTGTAACCGCACAGAAAAAAAAAACAATAATAATAATAATAATAATAATTATTATGATAAATAATTCGTTTTATTTTTTTATTTTTGGTTTGTTTTTTAAATAATATTATATAAAAGGCAAAAGGAAATTACTTGAACATAATATGCAGATATATTTATAGAACTATTACTAATAGTTGCTGGTGCTAATGCTGTTACTAATACCAATACTACTAGCAGCTAAAGATCGGATCAATATTTTGTTATTTTATTATTGTTGTTTATATTAATAACAATAACAAAAATTTAACGTAATAAAAACATCCTTTGTTCTAAAATTTTTGCATGTTTGTTTTTTTTACACGCATAATATATCCGAAATAACGCGCGACTTCTTAATCACGTGATAAAAATATACTTGAATATTTATAATTACGTGATTATAACAATTGGCATAGATTATTTGTTCACAAGATAAAATCATGAATATTTATTTATTTACTAATAATAGTTATCTAAAATAAGAATAATTGATCTATACACAGACGGGCGAGGATAATGATTTCCGAAACACAAATACTATGAGAATGATGAAGATAGAGTTACTATTGATGCTTTGATAGAATCTATATTTCTCAACATTATTATATTTATTGAAGTTTAAGGTTTTCCTGCTCGTTTGTAATGGCATTAATATAAAAAGTATTACAACATCGATTAAATATTTTCGTTCCAAAGGTTTGTTGGATCAAAAGTTAGAACTCTAAAATAATTGATTTTTAAACAACGGCGACATGTTTATTGATTGTTTCCCAAGTAATAAGATTTTCATCAAAAACAAATTATTCAAATTAATTAAGTTTGATTATTTGTGAAAACATATTTCTTTTTGCTCTTATGAGAGAATCTTTTGATTAGATAGGTTGTATAGAATATTCCTTTTATTATAATATATATATATTTAGATTAATCAAAAACTGGAAATTTTATTATAAACAGCTCCGCCAAATATAGTAAAACGAAAAAAATCTTTAAATCATTAATAAGTGATAATTATGTATACGTGCACAGGAAAAGATCCTATCTATTCAATATTAATTACGAATTGATTTATATGTCATTCAATGTTTATATATATAATAGCAATAATGGTTTTTAACCAATTAAAATCATAGCCAACACTTTTAAATGAAAAAAAAATATACTCAATGGCATCGATAAATTCCCTTATTCTCTATATAAGTAGGAAATGAATTTTAATAAATGAAATAAAAGTGACAACGATAAACTGTATTTTTGAATCGAATGTTTTAATTTTGGTGAAAATGAATTCATCAGCCACTTTTGAATAACATAATGGTGATCATAACTGGTTTTGGCCACATATCTAATTGTTTGTTTTTTTTTAATTACCGAATAATTTCGTAACACCATCATCAAAAGGGAATTATAAATAAATCGAACTTGCAATTTTTTCAGAGAATGTAAATAAATACCAAGTACACTTATTTCTTCTAAACTTTCATTTAAAATATTTACATATCTTTCTGCTTATTATTAAAAAATTCGAAAAAAAAAACCCTCGTCCTTTTTTTTAATTTTTTTTTCCCAAAATGCAAAAATCCTCCCCACCTTTTCAAAAATCATACAAACGTCACAACAGCCAAAAGGCTGAAATCCCTTATCAACAACGTATCAACATGAATAAGGTCAATCCATCCCAATCAACAGGATATTCCTCTTCACGTAGAATTATCAGCCCGCCTCCTCAACTTAAATTACCTTTTCCTCCTCGCATAATTCCTGAGGATTTGATCAACGAAAAAACCATGAAACTACCATCAAAGCCCCCTAATTCCTTTTTCATTTATCGAAAAGCTTACACTAAAGAACTTGTATCCCAAAATCTTCGATTTAAAATGACAGATGTTTCTCCTTGGGTTTCGATTTCTTGGAAATCGGAACCTGAAGAAGTTAAAACAAAATATAAAGAAATAGCACGCGAAGTGAGAAAAATTTATAAAAAAACAAAACAAGAGACAGAGAAAGAAAAGTTAATTTTAGAATGTAAAAACAAGAATTTTCAAGAAATAGTGTCAATGCTGCCAATTCCGACACCGCCACTCAACGATGTGACTTTACCTCAACATTTGACCACAAATTATGAAATACCAAACGACAATAACATCAATTTCATTGATAATCACCACCACCATCAAAACCACATTGATCAAAGTTATTTCAACACTCCTCCTTTGAACATTTCTCCATCAACTGATAACGGCGAATTTCCCCCACGAAACACTCAACAACATCAACGTTTCCAACAAAATGATAGTATCAGTAATGATGTTTGCCAAAATTTTACAGTGAATTTCTTTGAAAACCTAAATAATGAGTTATCTTATTCAGAGCCAACGATAATTTATCCAAACATTTTAAACGTTTGTGGCATATCAAATTCGCTCGATCCTTGTCAATATGTTTTAGATGAAAATCCATGGGTTGAAAATTTCATGGAATTTTGTGATGACCAATTCTATATTTAAGAAAATATTGTAAAAAAAAAATCATTATATAAATATTATATGTTAATCTATGTAAAATAAATATACTATTAAATAATTGAAACGATTTTCAAGATAGATACGCATATGCACATTTACATTATTTATTTGAATATACGTAAAAAAAATTATGAATTTACATTTAAATATTTAAGTTGTTTTTTATGAAATATTTTAAGATTTAATAATAAATTGTACTGCGGTATCACGTGGTACACAAATAATGAACTTTGCCATATTGGTGGAGAATTCTATAAAAGTTGATCCCGTTGAAGGAAATTACTCAAAAAAGAATTAAAGGGATATTTATTATATAGCCAATTGGTTTAAAATCGATATTTAAATTATATTAATAATAAAATTCAAGAAATATAAATGCAAATATTGTTTTATTTGTTACGATTAAATAATAAAATTTAAATATTCTTTACAAAATGGAAAATTATTATTTTGAAGCCTTTTGAATTTATTGGTATGTTTTGAATCAAGCGCTTCTTTATTGATAATTATCGTTCTTGATTTAGAATAAAGTCATCAATCAAACAAACAAATAATTAATAACAATAAAAATAAAAGACAAGGATCCATTCAATTATCATACTAATTATTTACAGAATCGATGACATTTATATTTTTAATTTATTTAAAATTTTCTTTGCGAAAAAATCTGACCGATATCATGTGGAAATCTTTATTTATTTTATATTTACATAACTAACTATCTATAAATAAAATGAGAATAAATTGGTGTTTGTGAAATTACAAAGGTCCATTTCTTTTTACACGTTTTATTAAATTGAATTTACAAATTATTTGAAATTTCTATAAAAAAAAAATAAATAGAATCTTTTTGTATATATATAGTAATATAATAGATAACTAAATGTGTTGTCTGTTACCTTCATGACCTTCGATTTTTATTTTAAGTTTGAATAGTCAAATGAATTTATATAGTAAACTTCGTTATTCCGTATAACGAACACTTATTGAAAATTTATATATATTAATATGGGGGTTTTCTAGCAAAAACCGGGTATATATAAGTATAATAAATTTTTTTGAGTGATGATCTTTGCAAAATATGTTACACATGTTTTTGATATATAAAGTGAATATTTCAAACCTTATATCTTGTTAATTGTACTAAGTAAATAATGTCTAAAATTTTTACCAGTTATAATCCTTGTGGTATAGACATATATTATGCAGAAAACTCAATTTTGGCCTGGAGGCCTTATACACGGTTTTTGCTAGAAAACCCACCAATATATTACTGGTCGCGTTATATATACCGATTTTTTGATCATACTAAAAAGTATTTTTATTTTGATCTTTTTGTTTACTATTACAAGATATTCATCTGCAATTGCTCATTCGTTATATTTTATTTTATAGCTTCTATCCAAGATATTCAATTGTAATGATAATAAGTAAAATAAAATAATTGACCTATTATTAACATTTGATGGAAATGTGTATATTGATTTTTAACAATGATTTATTAAACACTTTATCAAGTAAATGAATGCCATTGATTTAATTGACAAAAATAGAGAAATGGGAAAAGAAATCTAAAAGTAAAAAAAAATCCATATTGTGTTTTCTTTGAACTGAATGGTTAGTTTATTTTAAAAACGTCAAATTATTTTTCATTGATATTGAAGTTTTGAGGATATAAATAAAGCTTAAATTTTGTCATGAAATTTAAATTTTCTTTTTGAAATAAAATCCGTCTGTCCGTATACAAAACAAAATTATAATAGTAATAAAAATTCTGTCTGTCTATACCGAAACAATAAAAATCCCGTCTGTCCAAATTTAATAATAAAAATCCATACACAATATAAAATTAAACTTTTTTTAATAAAAAAATTTCTAATGTCTCAACAAGGACAAAAAAACCACAATCCACCTTACTGCTGCACAAAAATTTGAAATTTGTTCAATAAAACACTTGGTGGACAAAAGTTTACATCCAAAATTTCTTTTCAATTTATTTCAAAACTATGCTAATTAAAATATTGTAATCTTTATATCATTCAAAAGCTCTTGTTCTTGAGAATATGATCATGACAGTATGTCCCGAAGGGTTGAATATTGTATTGTCAACAATGGTTGGCCAACTAGATATTAAATAATTTTTTTTTGAAATAAAAAATAAGCCATTTATTTATCAACACTTTGTTATTTTTACATCATTTTTTATTTTTAAATTTAATGTCAATTAAATTTAAATTCGCAGTTCTTTCCCATTTTTCAAAATTGATTTAAAAATATTTTGTTATTTTTACATCGTTTTTTATTTTTTATCTTTTTTTATGACAAAGCTTCAAAATTTATGTAACAAACATATTCTCAAGAACAAGAGCTTTCGAATGATATAAAGATTACAATATTTTAGTTTTGAAATAAATTGAAAAGAAATTTTGGATGCAAACTTTTGTCCACCAAGTGTACCTTAACAGAGGGTGTCACTTTCCCAAACATAACAATTCATTATTTACCGCCAAATACCACAGCACATTTACAACCATATGATACAGGCATCATTAATAGTTTCAAAGCTCATTATAAAAGGTTATTTTGAAAAAAAGAATAAATAATTTTGATGATCCAATTAATATTTATCATGTAGTTATACTTGCCACCCAAACTCAAAAGGCTAAGTCCCAAATCCAATGCCCAAATCCCAAAGTCAAAAGTGGTACAAATCCCAAAGTTGTCCCAAATCCCAAAGCCAAATCCCAAAATGGCAATAGTTCTATATATAGATCAAAACAATAGATATATTCTTTTATTCTTACATAAAACACATTACTAGCAAAAAATTTATTGTAAATTTGTTATAAAAAACCATAAAAATGTAAAGGTCCAAAAAAAATTAGCTCATCAAATAATCTAACTTTCTACTCTATTTAATATTTCATCAATATCAAAATCAATATCACCAAGTTCAACAAATTCATCAGTTAAATTATTATCAATATCATTTATTAATAATTCATGATTTAAGTCAATGAATTTTCTATGTATAAATGTAGTATTTTCCTCACTTATGTCCAAACATTCATCACTATCATCAGGATCATCAACTAAATTATCACCACTATCATTTTGAAACATTTCTATGGCACGCCATGCTGGACAAAAGTGTACCACATTTTGTTGTAATTAATTGCAAAATTGGATGATCTGCAAGTAAAATTTTTGTCCAATTGTAAGAAATAAATGCAGTTTAAAGTTTTCATTTCTACATAAATAATGATTATTAAAATAATTAGATAGTGTGAGCAAGCAACAATAATATACAAATTGTCAAAAAGAAGAGAAATGTAATAATATTATTAAAATGCATCAACAAATTGTGATTAAAATCAATATTAAATAACTACTAAATATTAACTATAAATAAGTTTTGAATATTATGTGCAATAGAATTCAGGCTTTCTTTTGAATATAAGATCACTCAATTCAATCAAGTACTTAGTAAGATACAAAAATATATGGTAATAGGTAAAGAACTATTGCATATCATATAACTAGATAAAGCATTCATAAAGTATATTTACAAAACTTGCTTTTCAAGCTTCTTTGATCTCATTTAGTGTTAGTTAATTAGTTTTAGAGAGATTTATAAAAAAACAGTTTTATGAAGTAATGATAACATGATTTTTTTTTTAATATATTAGTATTTTATATACACTACCCAGACAAAAATTTGTGAACGATGTTTTTTGTTAATTACGCAAAATACTACATAATAACAACACATAAAATTTTAATATTATACGGCCTAGGTTCTTGTTCGTTTTTGTATAAAATTTGATGTTTTTTGTATTTCTAGTACTTTATTAATAAAAAAAAAAACGAAATACTTTTTTTTTGAAAAGATCTTCAAAAAGTTAAAATTGAAAAAATTGACTAATATCTAGTGGGCCACCCATCATTAGAAATACATGCCTCAATTCTTCTTGGCATGCTTTCAATGAGTTTTTCTAAAGTTTCATAAGGTATTTTTAACCATTCTTCTTTCACCACAACTTCCAATTCTGATTTATTTTTTGGATGCAATGCATGTTTTTTTAGCCTCCTCTCAAGTTCACCCCAGAGATGTTCAATCAGATTAAGATCTGGTGATTGAGAGGGCCAATCAGCCAAAATATTTATTTTTTTCTTTACCATCCAATTTTTAACATCTTTAGCAGTATGAACAGGTGCGTTGTCATCTTGAAAGGAATAACTTCTATCGCGAAATTTCTTTCTAATTAAAGGCAGCAAATTTTTATCCAAGATTCTGATGTAATCCAAACGATTCATCTTTTCCTCCACCGTTACTAAAGGGCCTAACCCCTTTCCCGAAAAACATCCCCAAACCATTATCCCACCACCACCATGCTTTACTGATGGAACAAGGTTTTCAATATCATAACGACAACCATTCTTTCTCCATACACGACCAGGACCATCATTCCTAAAAATTGTAAAGCGTGATTCATCGCTCCAAATCACTGTCTTCCAGTTTGCAATGGACCAGCTTCTTTTTCTTTTACACCACTGTAGTCAGTTTATTCTTTGTTTTTCAGACAAAAGGGGTTTCACTGCAGCAATTCGCGAGTAAATTCCAAGTTCATGAAGGTTTCTACGAATTGTTCTTGTAGAAACCTCTTTACTGATTGCTACAGATAAATTTTCTCGTATCTGACCAGAAGAGTTGTGATTGTTTTGATTTACTATCTCTTCTAATATCTTTTGATCATCTTTATTCAAAGTTTTGGGTCTTCCACTTCGAGGTGCACTTTTTACATTATCAGAGTTCTTGTAACGTTTTATGATGTTGCAAACACTACCCTTTGAAATTTTGAGCTTTTTTGAGATTTCTGACATACTATTTCCAGATAGATGAAGACCCAAAACTTTTCCACAGTCAAGTTCAGTCAGTTCCGCATATTTTGGCATTTTTATGATTTTAATAAAATTTTTTT